AGAAGATAGAAACTAAAGCTGTGAAAAATGAAAAAACTAACCCTGTCAAATCCACACTGTAGATGTAGTTGTGTTGCCAATGGCCAGAGAGCAGCTTAACATAACTATCTTATTCTTTGCTAAACTTAAAATACAAATTAGCTGGTTCTACAAAAAAAAAAAAAAAATTAAAGAAGGTGAGGGGAAAGGGTAAGAAGGGAGAGGAAAATAGAAGCGGGGAAGGTGGTGACTCTGGTTCTCCGCATTGCCACTAAGAGCTGCAAAGTGTAGGTCTCCTGCCAGGGGAGGCTGGAGTCCCAGGGAGGAAGGATCAGGGGCAATTTGCACTGTGCGCATTAAACTCCACCAGGCTCTCTAAAATGCCTTGTTCACTCTCTGAAGCACATGTAGTAAGTGAGGGATCATAAAAGGAAATAAAGTAAGGAAAACAGCCTGGTACTTTGACCCCAGATAAACAAACATGCTACATTCATAGGCATCTCATCATTTAAAAATTTTAGCACCCAAATTTCTTTCTTTAAAAAGAACATAGAATTAGTTTCCACATCTCTCAAGAAATACATCTTTCTATATATTGTAAGGACAATCTTATCTTCCTTGAAGTTTAAACTATAATTTTACTAATTTATTTACTAGGCTTGGAGAAGCTTGAAGATTGTTTTATAAAAGATTCTGTACCATATGCAGGCTTGGGGCTGTACATGTGTATTTATAAAATTATTTATAGCTTAATGCCTTACAATAAAAACTTCATTGTATGAATAATATTTATAGTATTATTTTATTTTTGACTTTCTCAATAACATTAATAACAATTTGGATTGCAAAAACTCTGCTTAAAACTTTTCAGGAATATACAAACTGAATAAAGTAAGGCACACTTAACTTACTAAGGAGACTGGTTTTATAGCTAGTCAGCTTTACACATCTTTATTTAGATCATTCCTGTTATTAGAACGGGGTCGACTTGCTGTCAGATTACAACGCCAAAGCTAAGAAGTTAAATACCATGGACAGCTGCTTTCTAGGCCAATGACAGCCTTAGCACCACAACAGATCAACAGATCCCAGCGGTCAGGGTAGGTGCACAGAAGATGAGCTCAGCACCCTGAAAGTCAACCATTCCAGCTCCTGCAGGATTCAAATTTATTCCTAACCAGTTATAGATGAATTTTTAGGAGAGAGCCCCAATGATTAATAAATAAAAATCCTCTGAGAAAAGTCTCTGCTTAGCATAGGCATTTCTAAACCTCAGCCACCAATGGTCTAGTTAACTCAAGTAAAATTCTGTACAATAAAATTTCAGGGCAAAAAAAAAAGCATTTGGAAGTTTCCTTGGAGTTCATGATATTATTGGACTGCATATAATCACTATGTGTGAAGAACTAAGGTTCATGGATTTTATAATATGACAAATATTATATGCCTCCCAAAATAAATGATTCACTGGAGTAAATTCAATCTTCAAAGAATGCTATATAATTCTCATATATGAAATAATTTATTCTAATTCACTTTCATTTAAGAGCAGAATAAAAGTAAAGTAAATAACATTTATTGAACAATCTACATTTGCCATGGACTATGCTCCATGCTTAACATTAATTTCTTCACCCAATAATTTTCCCAACCTTATAAAGTAGTTATTATTATTCTCATTTTCTAAATTAGGAAACTGAGACTCAAGAGAGTTTAAATGAATTATCTTAGATCACTGGGCTTTTTAGACAGCTGGTGTTAATGTCCTTTTCTTCCTGGGTCAAAGCCCTAGCGGTTCTCCACCGTGTCACAACTTTTAAAACCGATAATGTATATCACTAAAAGAAATGATAGTAATACTAACAACAATAAAATTTTAAAACCACACAATGTAACACATACCACTTTAACCAGAGAATACCAGTTCACATTTTTCCAAGCTTCCCCGTTGCCCCATGACATACATCATCAATAATGGAAACAAATTAAAAATTTTCAACTTGTCTATGAAGTGAGCACTTTCAAAGATATTTCACTGCCTACAGCTTGGCAGAATTGATGCTTCTGTAGCAAGAACCATGTGATGATTTATAAAAGAATATTAGCTGGCGCCGCGGCTCACTTGGCTAATCCTCAGCCTGTGGTGCCAGCACACCGGGTTCTAGTCCTGGTTGGGGCGCCAGATTCTGTCCTGGTTGCTCCTCTTCTAGTCCAGCTCTGTTATGTGGCCTGGGAAGGCAGTGGAGGATGGCCCAAGCGCATGGGAGACGAGGAGGAAGCACCTGGCTCCTGGCTTCGGATCAGCGCAGCGCGCCGGCCGCAGCAGCCATTTGGGGGGGTGAACCAATGGAAAAGGAAGACCTTTCTCTCTATCTCTCTCTCACTGTCTAACTCTGCCTGTCAAAAAAATATCTAAAATGTATTTCTCAACTTTTCCAAACTCTCATGCCAAAAATTGTGCAAATAAGAACAGAAGGTGGCTGTGCCTGAAAACATGCTTGCACAGCACATTCTTCTCTGTGAAGAAATTGAGGCTCAAGATTACCCTAGGGTCTTTTTTCTAAGTGTTTTGTCAGAGGCACTGATTTCCATAGGAAATGTGGCCTCCACAGTTGGAAATCAACTCTGCCAACCAGAAGGCTAGATGCTCACACTCAGCACTTGTCCCTATTCAAAACAGCTAATATTCAGAGCTTGGAAAGCATACCACTGTAAGATTTTGAAGCTGGGCATAGCATAAAGGCTGTAATTGCTGAAAAAAATATTTTGAATATTTTCCAGCAATAATTCAAAGTTGAAATTGGCAAGGTGAAACTTTCTGGAGGAAATCATGCATGATTATCTATGGTTTCATCTAAAATGTATGACTATGTTTTAGTATTTTAGCTACCAAACAAGACAAACTCTGTTACCAAAAAGAAAAAAAAAAAACCCTCCATTCCCATTAGTTATCAAATACATAAAGCTACAATAATTATTAAATGAAATGAATTAAACTATTTGGTGCTGAAAGGAAATTAATAGAATGAACACATTTGAGGGAAATCAGAAACTGGAGAAATAGTTTTGACTATAAACTTCTTTCTATTTTAATTATGTTTACCCAGAATTTCCAAATTAAAAAAACACACAATATTAAACATAACAGAGAGTTATGGATACAAATACCAACCATTGAGGAATGTCATCCTGAAATGATGACTTATAAATTATGTAAAAATGATGTGACAGTCAAATAATTGATTAGGTGAAGATCCTGCCAGGACTATTTTAATGAATGGTGTACAATTGGTTAAATATATCTGTAACCTGTATTTAAAGTTATTTTCCAAATGCAGGAAACCAGTTCTCCCTCCCCTAAAATTAGAATGCAAAATCCTCCTGCAATCTTGCATATACTGTTGGATTACTCTGAAAATTCATTTTTCATAAATGTTGCCAATATAATCATCAGCCAAGTCTCTAAGTGAATGAATTGCCACTGTGGTGTCACAAAACCAAAGGCTTTGAGTTTTCAAAACCAGTTCTTACCACTCTGATGTGGCCAAGACGTTTCTGATATCCAGTCATTTCCTTGCCTCTATAAAACATGCCTTTCCTTGAAAATTGCTTAGTATCCTAACTGGAATAATCACACAGATTATAAAGCAAGCCACCCAAACAGGCTGGAAGAGGGTTTGTGGGATCATCCTTTTGGCTGCTAAGTTAGAGCAGAGAGTGCGGCTTCCATAACACCCTGAAGGACATATACTCAGTTGCTACATCTCAATGCTTTGCTGTATATTTTTATATTTTGCTAAGTGATTTTTTTCACTATACTTCCTAACAAACAGTCATATACTGAGATAAATGTTTGAAAAACTGTGACACAAAACATTTGCACACAATAAATAGAAAAATTACTAGTGATTTTTTCCCACTGCAGTTAGCTTCCATTTTACGGTAACTGCAATGATGATAGTCTTCGACTTTAATACAAAGGTATTATGTAAGAAAAGCTAAGTTAATATCATTTTCCTCTTTTTTCTGTTGAAGTCTTACCCCCATTCAAACATCTGTCTTTTGCCTACCTGAGAATTTTGCCAGATGCTAGCATGAAAAGTTTGTGTATTTTGGTTTTCTGCTTAAAATCATATTCAAAAACAATATTGCACTGTTAGGGTATAATCCAGAACTGCATTATGACACAATCTAAATTTTGTTGGCATTATTTATTCATTATTTAAAAAATAATTGATCAGATAATTGATTTTGCAGATCAATTTCTTCTAAGCTCTTTATCAATTTGCTTCCCACCTAAGTGGTAGGATGGCCATTATTGTCATTAGAATTATCTCCCTCAAATTCTACCATAAAATTTTTTGGATCATGTTTCTTAGAGTATGCAAAGTGGGCCATTATGATACAGATGCAAGTGTCAGGGCTGACCAAAGACTCTCTTTACAGTGAATGCTGGTAAGTTCCCGGTCAAGTGGTGTGAAACCTGAAAATGTGAATGAAGGGAAATGACCATGACCAGTCAAGTGAGCAGATCTGCTGGGATGAGGCTGCTGACCTGAAGATGCAGCTGTGATGACACAAGCAAACTTTCTTCCCTAAACATCTTTAAAAGATGGTGCTTAATAACTGTCATGGATTCCTTCCAAAAGAAAAAGTTCTACAGTTTAATATACACATATACCCTTTCCCATGAAGATAACATTGTTCCCAAGTCATTATGCCTAGTTTCAGAAAATAAGAGACAGCTGCCAGGTATGCTCTGGGATGCTTATATAACTCATGTTTACCAGGGTTTTACTCTGAATAAAGAAGGAATTCAGTAGACATCTACAAGAATTTCCTCCCAAGATTTTTTTTCCCACTGTCATGTTAGTCTGGCTACCACAGAACAGCAGAATTCAATCTGTTATCCAGTCCAGCCCCAAACACCAGCACATTAAAAAAAAAGTTGCAGTTCACCAAAACAGTAATTCAGAACTATGTTCAATAAGAGATTAGATAGAAAAGCCACCACCACCAACCTTTGCTTGGGCCTCTGGTGTAGTCACCTTGACGACTTTATTGCGATTTATCATTTGCTTCACCCATCGTTCTACTTGGACGTTGAATTTCATGAAAATCACATAGCCAACATAAGCAGTTAGGAGAAGCAAACTTTCCCACCACTTGATAACGTTATCCAGGAAGAATATAATCAGCATGATCAAGTCAACGATGTAGAAGGACACATCCCGAAAGAGTGGCCACCATGTCAGGTTCAAGATTTCTCTAGAAAAGAGAGCACACATGCCAATAACAAAGAGGATATTGAACACTGCTGAACCTACGATTGTGCCTATGCCAACGTTGCTGTGTGCGATAAACACCCCTATGAGAGAAGTGAACAGTTCCGGGGCCGACCCCCCTGCAGCCATAAAGGTGGCTCCAGCCACATCATCAGAGATGCCCAGTTTTTCCGTGATGACAGTCAAAGAAGGAACAAAGAACTCATCGCAGACAATGGCTAAGGCTATGAACATGTAAATCATTCCCAAGACATGGAGAATGATGGCGCCTTTCCTTCGGTCCTCAAGGGAGAAGATGTCTCTCGGGTAGTCTCCTTGGGGATGATCTGTACTATTCTCGGATTTGCCTTCCTCAGAAAGAGTTGGCTGTGGAGTGTAATCCCGAATCTTGTCATTTAAATCTAAGAGAGTTCTTTGATGGTAACCATGTGCTACCCTAGGGCCACTTACAACATTGGCTTCTCCTGTGCTCTGTGTGTCTGTCTCAGAAAAGGCACTGATTGAAAATGGGACAGTGCTAATGGCTACCAGGCCCAGGAAAAGGCCTAAGATTCGAATCAACTTCAGTTTTTTCCTGACATTATAACGTCTCCTGCAGCCAGAGGGTGAGTCATCCGAACACCACTTCTCAAGGAACGCGATGGGGGTGCTTTGGTGGAGATCCATCTTGGGTCTTCTGGTGGAGGTGGTGGTTTTCAGTCTTCAGATTTGGTCAGATGGTCCTCTCATACTTTTCCTTACTTGACAGTTAGTGGTGCTTGTGCGTCACTCCCTCAATCAGGAATTCTTATGCTTCACGGAAAAGTTTTATCATTTATGCCTAAATGAAAATAAAAACAAGGGTAGTCAGTCACAAAATCACGTCATTTTTACAAAAGGTGTTTTGCAGTTTTGTGTGACCATGCCTAAGTTCCTTAACTTCTCTGTGCCTCAGTTTCCCCATTTGAAAAATCAGAACAATTATAGTATCTATGACCCAGGGTTGCTTTAAGATGAGTTAAAACATGTGTAGAACTGAGAAGGATATAGTACATAGTAGGTACTTAGAATCACATCTGTATAAACCCAAATAGATCAGGTAGCTGTGCCTAAGTATGAACATTTTATGGATGAAAGTCTATCAATTTATCCCATCTTATATCATGTAACAAACAACCTCTTTATTGAAAAGGTCTCACTGCTCTCAGAACGATTCAGGTAACTGACAACAATTATCCATTATGAGTTCTTTTACTTCAGTTATATAATTCCTAGTGGTAGGGGCATTTTTCTGATTCAGTCTATCATTTGGAAAGGGTCAAATGTTCGAGGAGGTAAAGCTCTTTCGTGCATACACAATGACCTCAGGATTTTTTTTTCTTTCCATGAAAATCCTCTCCTAAATCAGATGCAGAGGAGTAGCCTTTAGAAAAAAATATAAGTTCACCAAAGGATACTCTGGTGACATGAACAAGCTATCTTCCTTGAACATCTAGTCATTGTTTTGAGCTGAAGCTTTATTTGGGGAAAAAAAATCCTTTAGTCATATTTAAAATAGACAGCTGAGCAAATCAAATCCCAATGCAGTGAAATAACAAGTAGGCTATTTCTAGCGACCCAATGTGTATTTCATAAACAATGTGCAAGTTGCAGCAATACCTCCGTCCACAACATCTGCCCCCAGTAACCCCGGCACTGGCTCAGTTTTCATTCTCTATCCCACGGAAAGGGGGGCATTTCAATCTAGGCAGGATAGCTGATAGTCCGAAGGTTCCCTTTTAAAATTTCTTTAACAGCGCTATTTTCTTCTTCTATATCAACAATTTCATTTTAGAGACATTCGCTGAGAGCACCTCAGGTGTAAAATAAGCTAATTAAACACACGCCACTTAACAGCGGTAGATTAGCTGGAGCTCAGGTTTGCAGCTCAGAGCCAGAGTCCAGAGCAAACCAGGCTGAGGCGCCGCTCCTCCTGAGATAACCCGAACCCATCACAGACATTCCGGCTGGCTGCGGCTGTCAGCGCTTAGCAGAACGATTAAGCTACTCACAGCACTCCAGGGATTGTCACAAAGCCTGGCCCCGGCTACTGGCAGGGACAGACTTTACTCCCGGAGCGCAGGATCAGCTCCAGCCCAATGCGGGCTCGCCCTGCAAACCCACCGCTCCGCTCTCTGTGAGCCGCCTCTCTCTGCAGGCGAAGTGAGCCCCCAGCCGCACCCCAACTTTACCTTACGTAGTCCCAAACTTTCCCTGGTGGGTTAATAGGAAAATCAACTAACGGGCGGACGCCCCACCTGCGAGCCGGTAGCTGGGATGCATTTGGAGAGGCGCTTGGCCCTCACGTCGCCGGATCCTTTGTGGGTGGCCAGGGAAGGGGAGAGCCCCTCCGCGTGTCTCCGCTGACAGCAGGCCCTGCCCCGCGCTCCACATCCCAAGCTGGAAGCCAGGGTGGGAGAGGCTAGGGCTCGGAAACCGCGCCTCGGAGCAGAGAGTTGGTTAACTCCTAGCGGGGCCTGGGGCACCCACATCCACCTAGGAGCCACCTGTGAGTCTTGCGGCGCAGTAGCAGGATGCACGCAACCCGGATCCGGGGACAATGACCGTCGTGGCCACACACAGGCAGCTGGTGGGGCACAGCCGCCCGCACTTACCGGGATCCGCTAGGAGGACGCGCACAGGGCGGGGACCCGAGCCCGCCGCTCTCCCTGGCCCTCAGCCTCCCCGCTCCGAGGCCCGGGGCTCCGGCTCGCGCTGGCCGCGGCTCTCGCCAGCCTGGGCTGGGCTCTGGAGGAGACTGAGCCGCTGCGAGCCCCGCGCTCCGCGTCTGGCGCTGCCCGGCCCCTCCGGCCCCTCCCTCTCGGCTGTGCGCGGGGAGCGGGGCCGCAGCGCGCTCGGCGCCGGAGTCCTCGGCTCCACGCCTCTTGGGTGCAGAGGCGATGCAGGCAGCGGGCTCTTAGGAGATTTCTCCGCAGTGGGGACGGGGTCAGGATTTGCAGGCGAGCAAGGGCAGGGAGGAGAAATCGTACGTGTCCGTGACGCGCCTGATTTCCAAAGCCTGAAAGTGCTGTCAACTTTGGGGTCACCTATGCTGGGCACCTGCTCTCCAACTGTCTGCAGACAGTGATAGGCGTCGCGTGTTGCTTAAGTAGGAGATGTAACGGTAATGGTGGGGAAGACGTTCATGAAGGCTCGGAGGCCTGCAGGGCGGGCTGTTGGGTGCAGGATGTCTGGAGTCTTGAGCGTGGATGGTGGGTCCACAGAGGGGTCTTCAGCCTTGCAGGTTGGTTTTTCATTGCATGTTTGCGCAAACTGTCATTTTGAGGCCCTGAAGGGTTTCAGGCTCTGGCCTTGAGACTCCCAGCACAGTGCTCCTTCCTGTTCTGTCTGGAAAGCAAGAGCCCCTTGGCCACGAGAAATTGAGCCAGGCATTTTGGAAACTGACACGAAACTGGACCACAGAGTGGGAGAAGATGAGGCAGACTGGGTGCTGTGGGAGACCCCTTTGACTCAGGCCTGGGACCACCACTGACAGTGTCCAGGACCACCAACCACTGAAGCCACTGAGACCCGAGCCTCTTTCCCTTCACTCTTCTCTTTTTCTGCATGCCACCTTCTGCAGACTGGGGACAATATCCTGTTTATCTCCCAAACTCACTCCCTTTGACTTAGAGTCCATCCCTGTATTCAGACCTCTTTGCTCACTCTTGATAAATCAAGCGTAGCCTTGGGAACATAGAAATTTCTTTTTCTGCCAACAAGTCCAGGCATTCAAGAGTCTTGTCTTGCACAGTCCAATTTTCAAAGTCATCGGCTGAACCTTATTTATCTATACTTTTTATTTTGGAAAATTTCAAACATACACAAATGTAGGAAAACAGGAGATGAGTCTTCCTGGGACAATCACTAGCTTGAATTATTATCAACTCAAGATCAATTGTCTTTCATACCTACACCTTTTCCACATGCCATCATTTTAAAGCAAGCCCCAGACATCATATTTTTTCTGTACATACTTAGAGAAAGCAAGGAAGCTACCCTTTACTTCTAGAGTTGTGCCAAAAAGACTCATGAAACAATTCAAATTGACTCTCACTGACAAAGATGGGCCAATCTAATTATCAAACAAGATAACTGCAATTGTTCCAAACAATTGAATAATGTAAGTTCACAATGTTTTTAAAAACAACCCAGTAGATTCATAACTGTGGATGGTTAAGAGGGAAACAAATCTTTGTTTTGAAAACTTTAATAGAAAAAATAAAACAATCGTGCATCTCTCCTTTTTTTTTCTATACAAATTGAACCTCAGGGTAACCAGTTAGGCTCCTTTTTACCCCTACTTTGTCTTTGATTTCCTGGTTTAAGAATCCTAATCTTCTCTGAGATCTCAGATGCCTCTGGCCTCATGAGGGCGGGGAAGGTGGTTGAGGGATTGAAGGTGGGGGTTTGAGGAGGCAAAGTTTTGCATAAAAAAAAAGAATTATTATACATGCTGAAAAATTTATTTCTGTACCCCTCCTACTAAGATTTTTTATAAATGTTATTCAGCTAACTCCTCCTACAGCTTAGAGATGACACTGAGTCTCCATTTGGTGGGAAAGGGAATGAGGTTGAGCTGAAGACCTGAGTCTGCAGGTTCTATCTGTTGTAGTTATGAATTTGGCAGCATATAATAGAAAACCATCCTCAGTGGTTCAAGTTTACTTTTCTCATGTAAAAAAGATGTTTGAAAGCAGCCTCTCTAGGGTTTGTGCAGTAGCTCTAGGATGCCATCAGGGCACCAAAATCCTTTGTTCTATCTACCTTAAGGCATGGTTTATCCTCACGGCTACAAAATGGTTGCCTCCTTTAGCGTAGGTTCCAGGAAGGATAATGGAAAAGAATGAAGGTTGAAAAGCAGAAGATCCCCTTGCTAGACTTTACCTTTCTATTTAGGAAGGGAGCTTCTCAAAACCCCACTTATATTCCATTGGCTACAACTTGGTCACATAGTCATACCTAGCTGCAAGGCAGTAGTAAACGTATTTTAACTGGAGTCAGTCATTTTTTAGAAAATCAGAGTTTGGGGCCAGCGCTGTGTTGTAGCAGGTTAAGCTGCTGGTTCAAGTCCCAGCTGCCCCACTTCTGATCCATCTCCCAGCTAATGTGCCTGGAAAAGCAGCATCAGATGGCCCAAGTCCCTCGGCTTCTGTGACCAATGTGGGAGACTAGATGAAGCTCCTAGTCCCTGGCTTCGTCATGACACAACACTGGCTGTTGCAGCCAGTTGAGGAGTGAACAAGGGGAGGGAACACCTCTCTTTCTCCATCTCTGTCTCTCTCTAACTCTGCCTTTCAAATAAATTAAATAAATATATAAATATTGAAAAAAAGAAAATCAGAGTTTTCTGAATAAGTAAGAAGGGGTGAGCAACTTCACAGTTCCAAAGGATCTCAATGAGATCCCCATTGAACTGAAAATTTGGCAGTTGATCAAAAACATGGCAAGAAACTTCTATGGGAGTTGAGAAGACTAGAACTACCATTGTGATAGCACTTGAGGAAGGCATGGCCTGTCATTGTCCAAGTCATACAACATGGAAGTGGAAGGAGAATCGAGTAACACTGTAAGCCTCCCAGATATACAGGAATTTTTGCCTGTTTAGGAAGAAAAGGGAGCTTCATGAGAAAATTTACTTTCACCAAATGTTGAGTTATTAAAAAGTAGCATCCATCAACTGCTTTGATAATAGATTTATATGATCAATGACTGACTCTCTTTGTATAAATTATTATAGAGTCACCTCTTTATTTGTTTTTAGTTACCTGTGTAAGTATAAACATTAATTGACATCATATTTACCCTTGTATTTGTTTGAACTTGGAGTTTATGGAAGTCACTGGTAATTACTAGTTAAGAATGGTAGCTTCCTTCTTAATTTTGGAGAGAAAATCCTTTCAAAAATCAATTAAGATTGTTTAAAATTGGGGCCGTATTTAAACTACTATAGGATTTTCATACAAAACTGTCAAAAGGTTATTAGTTAATAACTTTGCTAAGCACCCATATCATTTTTACATACAATTCTAGGATGGGATAATTTAAAGTTGTGTTGGGAAGATCCTCTTGCCCTCATCTAAAATAGCATTCCCAGGTGACACTATACCTACAGTTTCACTATTAAAAATTCATTGCTAATGGTTTTTTATTTTACAGCTTCAGGAATTCTTTAAAAAACAAATGGCTCTATGGTTTCATTTATGATTAGCAATTTTATGGTTTTTTTTGACTTGATATTCAGCCTAAAGAGAAAAAGAGCTAGTAAATAACGTGCAAGGAAGACAGCTGAGTCAGGAAGTTGTGAGCAACTGAGGGACAAGACAAAGTGTTCAGATTTTACTTTGTCAGTTTAATCACCTCTTTCTTCATTCTCCCCATGCACACCACATTTCCTTTTGCCTTTTATTATAACCTCCAGCTTTTCTGTTATCAAAATCTGCAGGCAATTACGATGCATATGAAGGGTTCAACATGCATGAAAGCAGCGATTCCCTGTCTTGACTGTAGCTAAACATGAGGATCAACTGGAGCTATTTTTAAGAGTCCTGAGAACAACCCTTGCCTTCCTTGCCTGATTTGAGCTTCTTGAGGGCAACAGTCAGTACATGCATTTCTCAGAACTGAGCACAGTGATTGGCACTTGTTCGGTGCATATCTGTGGAATGATTAAGATACTGCCAAGTACAGTGACTTAAGGGAGAATGAGTTAATCAGGTGCATGTAGGTTACACTGGAGTAACAGAAAGCTCAAAAATCACAGTGGCTTAGTACAATAAAGTTTTTCGTTTCCACTTTCACTACCTGTTCTTTGTGAATTTTGCTGTATCACCTTCACTCTTGGCCCCAAGCTGCTTGCTATCTGGAACACGGCCAATTGTTGTCATAGAGAAGAAAGATGCATGACATATCTTGTCCTTGTTTTTAAAGCTGCAGCTTAGAAGTGGTGCGTCACTGCTGCTCAGATCTCATTGGCTGAAGCAAATCACATGGCTATATCTATTTTCAAAGGAACAGGAGACTGCAGTGCTAGGGAGAATGGAAAGATTTCGTGGCTAGCACTAATGACTGCCACAATGGGTAGCAGAAGTGGAAAAAGGGAGGAATGTGTTATGCATCTGCTTTGAGCTAGAAATTTTCACTGATTTCTCTTTGAGCTCATGAGTTTTATCGCTATTATTATTATTCCCATTGTATAGATGAAGAAACTTAAGCCTCAGTGAGATGAAGTAGTTTTCCCAGTATCGAAATGCTCTCTTTGAACCCAGTACTAACTTTCTTTTTTTAAAATTTTTTTTTTTATTTTTATTTTTGCCAGGCAGAGTGGACAGTGAGAGAGAGAGAGACAGAGAGAAAGGTCTTCCTTTGCCGTTGGTTCACCCTCCAATGGCCGCTGCGGCCGGTGCGCTGCGGCTGGAGCATCGAGCTGATCCGAAGCCAGGAACCAGGTGCTTCTCCTACTCTCCCAAGGGGTGCAGGGCCCAAGAACCTGGGCCATCCTCCACTGCACTCCCGGGCCATAGCAGAGAGCTGGCCTGGAAGAGGGGCAACCGGGACAGAATCCAATGCCCCAACCGGGACTAGAACCTGGTGTGCCGGCGCCGCAAGGCAGAGGATTAGCCTATTGCACCACGGCGCCGGCCTTCCAGTACTAACTTTCAAGTCCAAGTTCTTTCTAATATTCCTCATAGTATATGACAGTCCCTTGACTAAGAATTAGAATTTCCTTGCTGGGATTTCATACTTTGGTGGTTCCAGTGGATTTCTTCTGCCACCAGCCCATCTATCAGGGGTGGGGACGTCTGACCTGTGGGCTGCAGAAGGCCCCATGAAGTCATTTGGTCTGGCTCTGCCAAGGCAACCGCAGGCGGGACTTGAAATTCAATAAATCTACTGAAGGCTAATTTTCAAGTTGATGATTTTGTATGGCTCATGAATGATGTTATAAATATCCAAATGGTCCTTGGTATAAAAAAGTTTT